CTTGAGCAGAGCAAGGATGGGCCACAGAAGGCCATCCGGGTGGAAAAGCCCCAGGTGCCTAGTGACAATCAATTGCAGGGTGTGATCTCCCCGCCAGGGTGACTTCCTCCTCTAGCAGTGGCTGGTCCCTGACCTTTGGACCCTGACCTTTCCTCCCTAGAGATAACATCTAGGCTTCAAGTTGTATTTCTTTTCTTTTAAAAAAATATAGTTTATTGATTTTTTTACAGAGAGGAAGGGAGAGGGATAGAGAGTTAGAAACATCGATGAGAGAGAAACATTGATCAACTGCCTCCTGCACACCCCCTACTGGGGATGTGCCTGCAACCAAGGTACATGCCCTTTGACCTGAATCAAACCTGGGACCCTTCAGTCTGCAGGCTGACACTCTTATCCCTCAGCCAAACCTGTATTGGCGAGTTGTATTTCTTTTGTTAAATATTTTTTTCTTTCTGTTTTGTTTGTTTGTTGTTGTTTTTTTAAGAAAGCTCTTGGCGCTTTTAAATATATATATATATATATATATATATATATATATATATATATATATATATATTTTATTGATTTCAGAGAGGAAGGGTGAGAGCTAGAGAGCTAGAAACATCAATAATGAGAGAGAATCATTGATTGGCTGCCTCCTGCACGCCCCTCACTAGGGGGATCAAGCCCACAAACTGGGCATGTGCCCTTAGAATCAAACCTGGAACCCTTTAGTCCACAGGCTGACACTCTATTCACTGAGCCAAACTGGCTCGGGCCTCAAGTTGTATTTCAGCTCCAGGCCCACATAAGCAACAAAACCAGGGCATGGAATGTGTTATGCCCAAGTGTCATAAACCCCAAAGACTACCAGGGAGCTGAATCCGATGCAATTGCAGAAAGCTATTTATTTCGGGCTAGTCCGAGCTCAGTCTCACTTATACCAACGAGGGCATGGCAAGGAAGAACTTAACATATCAATGTTTTGTTTTTGTTTTTTAACAGAGAGGAAGAGAGAGCTAGAAAGCTAGAAACATCGATGTTTCATCGGCCAGCTGCCTCTTGCACACCCCCTACCGGGGATGTGCCCGCAACCAATGTACATGCCCTTGACTGGAATCGAACCTGGGACCTTTCTGTCCGCAGGCCACCGCTCTACCACTGAGCCAAACGGGCTTCGGCATATCAATGGGTTTTATAGGGAGGGTGGTGCTGCTACCTTGGCTGACCTGATTGGTTGGGTTAGGCTTAGTGTCCAGTTACCTGGAGCTGGACCTCCCCCATCCTGCCCTCTCACCCCGCTTGCCCTCTTACTCCGCCCTGCCCCCTCACCCCGCCCTGCCTTCTCAGAATGATGACCTCCTTCCCCGATGTAAGCCAGTGGGTCATTGGAGACCACAACCCAGAATGGCCACATCTGAAAAACTGCTGAATATTCTATGGAGATCTTTCCCTGGCATCTCCCCTAAAATCCCCACCTTAAATCCCTCAGGAAGGAGGACCTAGAGCGCCCTCGCTTTTCCCTCTCCTTCCTACTCCCCCTCCCCCTCCTGCCCCAGGCAGGTTACCATTAGCTTCCTCACTCCAAGCTCCAAAGGGCCCTTCCTTTACCTCTAGAACTTGTTTCTTAAGCCCATTTCTTCTGGAAATTACTTTTCCTACCTCTGTAATTTACCCATTATCTGTTCTCTTACAGTTTGGGTCTTGCTCTGAATTCTTTCCTAGCCAGACCCTAAGTTCTGAGGTTACCGAACCCAGGTTTGGTCTGACCCCACAGGTCAGACACTTGGTGCCTTCCCACTGCCTACAACACATTGATATAGCTGTTAACGAAAAAAAAAAAGAAAAGAAAAGAAAAAGAAAAAAAAAAAAGAAAACATTGAAACCTATAAAGAATTTCTGTGAGTTTATTTGAGCCAAACTTTCGACATGTGCCAGGAAGCAGAACCTCAACGGATTGAAATAATGCTCCGGAGAATGGCGGGTTACATTTCTATATTTATACACCGAAATCAAAGGAGGGACATGGGTGGGTTACATGAAATTCATTGGTGATGGAGTAAGGAGGCGGGAGAAAGCAAAGCGGTGGGATTGGATAAAAAGTAAAATGAAGGACGTGTACTCAGGTGAGTGCTGGAACAATTAACATGATAACGAAGGAATTTGAGGCATCTATCCTGGCACCCACCACATTTGGTTGTGCCCCAGGGGCTCTGGCAAAAGGGAAGTTACAAGTTACCCAGACATCTCACAGATATGTTATCTTAGAGGCAAAAAGGCAATCGGGCTCAGTAAAAAGATCAAAGTTGATCTTTGTCTGGGAGAATATCTGGGACCTGACTACCTACTATAACCTGTTAGATATGTAATTTTCAAACCATCTTTTGTGGTTATCTTAGGTCTCTGGGTTTGCAAGACTGCCACGCAGGCCCTCCCTGAGCTTGTCAGGTTAGCAGGTGGCTCTTTTCCTTCACAGCACTAACTACGAGGGAAAGTACGGTCTCCGCCTGGGGCATTGGCTGTGCCCCGAGGGGCCTGGTGAGAGGGCAGGTGGGGTGAGGGGGCAGGGCGGGGTAAAAGGGCAGGTGGGGTGAGAGGGCAGGGTGGGGCGGGTCCAGCTCCAGGTAACTGGACCCTAGGCCTAACCCAACCAATCAGGTCAGCCAAGGTAGCGGCACCACCCTCCCTATAAAACCCATTGATATGTTAAGTTCTGTCTCTTTCTCGCCATGCCCTCGTTGGTGTGGGTGAGACTGGGCTGGGACTAGTCCGAAATAAATACAGGCTTTCTGCTATTGCATCGGATTCGGCTCCCTGGTAGTCTTTGGGGTTGATGACACTGGGGCACAACACCTGGAAAAAGGGGAGTTACCTGATATTCCAAGGGTCTGTTATCGTAGATGCAAAAGACAACAGACGCTTAGTTAAGATAAAGATGGCCTTTTCTCGGGGAAGGTTCTAGCCTAGGACATGCCTTCCTGGCATAAACTATTTATAATGAAAAGGTTTTCATTTTAGACCATCCTTTGTGGTTACTTCAGGTCTCTGGGTGTGCAAGGGAGCTTGCAGGCAGCCTGTGCCCCTTTTCATCCACTCCACCTACAGCCAGGGAAGAGGGGGGAGTTCGGGAGGAGGTTGGGGGGGGAGGGGAGGGTGATATGGGCAAAAGACAGACTAAAATAAATTTCCTTCTAGAGTAAAATATGTACTTAATTCGTGAACACATCTCATAGCTTTTAGACCGAGAAGAGTCTTTTCGACCAGGTGAAGCAGGAATTTTAGGGGGACAAAGGCAGGCTTAGGGAATTTTTAGAATTGGGGTCCTGGGGGGCGAGAGAGGGGAAGCATGGGATTGCAGACTGGGAGAAAGTACATTTCCATAACACAGGGAAGCCAGGTGCAGTTACATCCCCATAAGACAAGGAGGCAGCAACAGGTATATTTCCATAAGATAGGGGAACTGGAAGTACCTAAGAAAGGTCTATATTTACAAAATAAAGAGAAGCATGCCCTTCTTTCAGAAGGAGAAGGAAGCTGAAAGAGAATAGGGAAACAATTAAGAAGGAGGGGGGTGGTGGGAGAGAGAGAAGAACCTCACTTGTCCCTTAGGAGGTTTGACCTTTGAGCCCAGGAGTTACTATAGTAACCAGTGTAAGGGAATAGTGACCAGAGGGGATATCAAGGCATTAGGATCTGCCGCCTTTATAAGCCAGAGAAGGATCCAGTGGGACCCTTTCCCCCTCCCTATGTGGGAGGCCATTCTGTGGGACTCTTCCCTCTCCCCAATGTGGGAATCTATACTCCTTTTTTTTTCTTTTTAAAAATATATTGATTTTTTTACAGAGAGGAAGGGAGAGAGATAGAGAGCTAGAAACGTCGATGAGAAACTTCGACCAGCTGCCTCTTGCACACCCCCACCGGGGATGTGCCCACAACCAAGGTACATGCCCTTGAGCGGAATCGAACCCAGGACCTTTCAGTCCACAGACCTACGCTCTACCACTGAGCCAAACCGGCTTCGGCTGTATTCCTTCTTTAATAAATCCCCACCTTTGCTATTCCACTTTCTGTCCGTGGATTCAATCTGCGATTCCGGGGGACAGAGAATCCGGGTTCCAGTCCAAAAATTCTGTATCACAGGCTAGGACTTCCGGCCGGAATCCAGTGCTCTGGGGTTCTTTCTCTTAAGGACAGAATGGCTGGGGGTGAGGGAGGGATGGGTGGAGGGGGGTCAAGGCTGGGCCTCAGCAAAGTCGGCAATGGAGCCAGAGTCTATTAAAGAGGTCCCCGTCATGCCGAACCCGGTTTGGCTCAGTGGATAGAGCATCGGTCTGCGGACTGAAGGGTCCCAGGTTTGATTCCGGTCCAGGGCATGTGCATTGGTGGCGGTGGGGGGTGTGCAGGAGGCTGCTGGTCGATGTTTCTAGCTCTGTCCCTCTTTCTCTCTCCTTTCCTCTCTGTAAATAAACAATAAAATATATTTTTAAAATAAAAATAAAATAAAGAGGTCCCCGTCACATGTCATGTCTGTGTTTCTAAAGGGTCACAGTTTCCTAAGTGGACTCCAACGCTTAGGTTAAAACCTTGACCCTCCCCGAGGCATAAGACCCTCTCCTTCCATCCAGCGTGGCCTGGCCTGCAGAGTCACCGTCAGGTTCTTGGAAATTCAACCCGAAACTTCCCGCGCCCAGGAGATCGCAAAGAACCGAGCACAGCCAGCCCAAACCCAGGGAAAGGGTCTATTTGAATGCAAATGTCCCAGGCGCGGTGCGTAGCCAGGCTCATCCTCCCGCCTACTGTCACTCAGACCTGAGGGGGCGGGGTCTTGGGGGAGTACCCAATCAAGGACGCCGTTGGGGGGCAGGTGGGCGGGGCGGGGCGCCGAGGGGCGTGCCCGTGCCTCCGGGCTCCCAGCCTTGCGGGCTTTGCAAACCCTCGCGTCCTAAATCGGTCCCGGAGGCTCCGCCGCACCCCGTGCGGGGTTCGTGGGAAGGACTCAGGGCGACCCCGGGAACCCCGAAATGGTGAGTGTGCGGGGCCGGATCAGAAGACCCGGCCGAGGGGCTGATGGAACCACGGTCCAGTGCGGAGTCCTCGGACCCGAGCCCCCCGGGACCTCCGTGCCCTGCAGCGCGCGGCTCGCGGCGTGGGGGCTGCCCTGGCGGCCCGCGGGCGCCCGGTCCCGTCCCCGCAGCCCCGCGCGCAGCCCGCATCTCCCAGAGGGCGCGGCGGCCACGTGGAGGGTCGTGGGGGCAGCAGTGCTCGTCTCCCCGAATCCCGCCGTGGGGAGGAGCGGCGGTCCATGAGGTCCCAGTCCCAACTTTCACCCCCGATACCCGTTTTCTCCGGAGTCTTCCAAGGGCTGGAGGAGCAGAGGCTGAAATTCACGGCCCCTGCCCACCCCCTACTCCCCAGCCTCCGCCTAATGGGACCGGGACTGGCAATAAGTCCCTGAAATTAAGATTTCTCCCCCCAACGCCCCATTCCCAAGCGCCTCCTTCCTTTTTGCTACTCACATCACTGTCAACTGTTTTTTTTGTTTTTTTTTTCTCTCGCCGTAGTATTTCAAACTGACTCAGTGTTTTAATTTTATCAATTCCCCCCGAGGCGTGGATGGCTCGGTTTTTAAAGGTGATATTTTACAGGAGAGGAAACAGAAAATTAACCACATGGAACTAATTTCCATGAAATCTCTGTGCCTACCCACCCGGGATCTTCCCTGGGCACAGGCAATGCTACAAAAAGTCTTTTGGGCCATAGCCGGTTTGCTCAGTGGATAGAGAGTCAGCCTGCCGACTGAGGCGCCCCGGGTTCGATTCTGGTCAAGGGCACATGCGTGGGTTGTGGGCTGGATCCCCAGTGGGGGACGTGCAGGAGGCAGCCGATCAATGATTCTCATCATTGATGTTTCTATCTCCTTCTGAAAATCAATTAAAATATTTTATTTATTTATTTATTTATTTATTTATTTATTTATTTTACCATTTTTAAATTAAATTGTTATTTTAACATCCCCCCTCCTTCCCATACATACCCTCCCTCCCCAGAGTTTTGTGTCCATTGGTTTACTTATATGCATGTATACAAGTCCTTCGGTTGATCTCTTATCTCCCCAATCTCCCTCCCCTCCCCGCTGCAATTTGACAGTCTGCTTGTTGCTTTACTGTCTCTATATCTTTTGGTTCATCAGTTTATAATGTTTTTTATTATCCATACATGAGTGGGGTCATGTGGTGTTTCTCTTTCATTGACTGGCTTATTTCACTCAGCATGATGTTCTCCAATTCTATCCAGGTTGCTGCAAATGATGAGAATTCCTTCTTTTTTATGGCAGCAAAGTATTCCATTGTGTAGATGTACCATAGTTTTTGGATCCAATCATCTGCTGACGGGCACCTAGGCTGTTTCCAAATTCTGGCTATTGTAGATTGTGCTGCTATGAACATAGGGGTGCACATATCCTTTCTGATTGGTGTTTCTAGTTTCTTGGGATATATTCCTAGGAGTGGGATTACTGGGTCAAATGGGAGTCCCATTTTCAGTTTTTTGAGGAAGCTGTTCTCCACAGTGGTTGCACCAGTCTCCATTCCCAGCAGCAGTGCACGAGGGTTCCTTTTTCTCCGCAACCTCGCCAACATTTGTCATTTGTTGATTTGTTGATGTTGTATCTTTATTTTTTTAAATATATTTTATTGATTTTTTACAGAGAGGAAGGGAGAGGGAGAGTTAGAAACATCATCAATTAGCTGCTCTCCCACCCCCGTCCCCCCCTTCCCGCACACCCCCACTGGGGATGTGCCCGCAACCAATGTACATGCCCTTGACCGGAATCGAACTTGGGACCCCTCAGTCCGCAGTCTGACGCTCTACCACTGAGCCAAACAGGTTTCGGCAAAAAAAAAATAAATAAATTTTAAGAAGTCTTTTGGGTGGAGAGTCCTCCTGGATTAGTCACCCTTAAAAGCTTTATTCACTCCTGTAAGCCCAGTTTTCCAGTAAGGGTAAAGACAGTTTGAAATATTTCTGAAAGGTTAAAGTCTGTGGTGGTGGTGGTCAGGCTAAATAGCCATCTCAGGGGGGGGATAGAGAAAAATTGAATTTATTTAAGGAAAGGGGTTGGGGATCGGGATATACAAAGGGTGTTGGGTCCATGATGGCAGCAAAAACATACTTGGGACAGTGGACGGGGAAGCCTGGGCGGGGCTGCTTTGGCTCGCTGAGAAGTCTGAGCCGGGGTCTTGACGAGCGGCCGCCCTGTGGTTGCAAGTCTCCAGGATCCGGGTGGAAGTGGAGGAAAGGTGCCTGAGGGGGAGGGAGGGAACAGCATCAGCGGTGGGCGGGTCTCTGGAGGAAGAGCCTGCCCTCGAGCCTCTGTCCAGAGCTTATTTATCTCTTTCCTGCCTCGGAAACCTTAGGGCAGTCCTCAGGGGAGGCCTTAATAGAATATTCTTCAGCTTTCCCGAGGGCTCTTTCTGGGTCTGGGTCTCCACTGATTGGTGGTGGTGGTGGTGGTGGCGGCGGCCGAGGAGTCATTAGTCAATGTAGCTAGTCCTGAGGAGGGACACTTGTCTGGTTTTGCTACTTTTCTGGACCTGGAGCTGAAATGTAATTAAGACCTAGATGTTATCTTTCTTGTTTTTAAATACATTTTATTGGGGTTTTTTTTAGAGAGGAAGGAAGAGGGATACAGAGATAGCAACATCCATGAGAGAGAAACATCCATCAGCTGCCTCCTGCACACTCCCTACTGGTTATTTGCCTGCAACCAAGGTACATGCCCTTGACTGGAATTGAACCTGGGACCCTTTAGTCCGCAGGCCGACGCTCTAGCCACTGAGCCAAACCGGTTAGGACATCTCTTTTTAAAAATAAATAAATAAATATTTAAAATCCCAGGTTCGATTCCGGTCAAGGGCATGTACCTTGGTTGTGGACACATCCCCAGTAGGGGGTGTGCAGGAGGCAGCTGATGGGTGTTTCTCATCAATGTTTCTAACTCTCCCTCTCCCTTCCTCTCTATAAAAAATCAACTAAAAAAAAAAAGTATCACATATGTCTCCCCTTCATTTTTCTCCCCCAATTGACCCCTTCTATTCCCCACCCCTTCCCCAGGCCTCCTGCACCCTATTGTCTGTGTCCATGGGTTATGCATATATGCATACAAATTCTTTGGTTGATCTCTTACCTACCATCCTCCCCCACCTTCCTTCTGAAATTCCACTGTCTGTTCCATGCTTTTACATCTCAAATCTATTGTGAGAATAAACTAGTCATCTTTTTTGTCAAAGAACAGTTTATTTTTATTTATTTATTTATTTATTTTAAAAATATATTTTATTGTTTTTTTACAGAAAGGAAGAGAGAGGGATAGTTAGAAACATCAATGAGAGAAAATCACCGATCGGCTGCCTCTTGCACACCCCCTACTGGGGATGTGCCCGCAACCAAGGTACATGCCCTTGACCAGAATCGAGCCTGGGACCTTTCAGTCCGCAGGCCAACGCTCTATCCACTGAGCCAAACTGGTTTCGGCCAAAGAACAGTTTGGACAGTCGCCATTTTGGACTTCATGACTTGGCAGCTGCCATATTGGCCACATGGCTTGCAGCTCCTGTGGCAGGTGCCATCTTGAAACCACAAAGGCCAACCCCTGAGCTCCAATCAAGAGCAAAGGACAGGTCAGGTGCATCAGGGATTATAAAGTTGAGACCACCTGCTCTGTGTGGAAGGGCTTCTAGACCATGTGTGTTCACCCTTCTACGTAGAAGTAAATATGTTTGCCAAGTTGTGCTAGGTCTTATTTTCAGGGGATGTCTTATCTTTCCATGGGCTAGGTCTTATTTTCGGAGGATGTCTTATTTTCAGGGAAACACGGTACTCTCTAGGTCTCTATCACAGCTTATTTATCCACTCATCTACTGATGGTGGTACTGCACTGTTTCCAGGTCTTAGCTATTGTAAATTGTGCTATGAACATTGGGGTACATACATTCTTTCTGACTGGTGTTCCTAGTTTCTTAGGACATATTCCTAGAAGTAGGATCCCTGGGTCACATGGCATATCTATGTTTAATTTTTTTTGAGGAAACTTCATACTGTTTTCCATAATGGATGCACAGTTAGGGAGGACGGGGCCAGCAGGGGAGGGCAGTTGGGGATGACCAGGCCTGCAGGGGAGGAGAGTTAGGGGCAATCAGGCAGGCAGGCAGGTGAGTGGTTGGGAGTCAGCAGTCCTGGATTGTGAGAGGGGTGTCCCGGATAGGGCCTACAAGGGCAGTTGGACATCCCTCGATGGGTCCCAGATTGGAAAGGGTGCAGGTTGGGCTGAGGGACACTGGGCCTCTAGTATAGTATAATTGGATATCTGATATTGTGATTTCTTCCAATGTTCTTCTTTCTCAAGATTGTTGAAGTATTTGTTTTAGTGCTGTGAAATATGCTCTTGGTGTTTTAATAGGGATTGTATTGAATCTGTAGATTGCCTTGGGTAGTATGGACATTTTAATAATGTTGGTTCTAACAATCCATGAACACGGTATATTTTTCCACTTGTTTATATCTTCCTCTATAGGTCCTGTAGATTTCCTAGTACAAGTCTTTTACGTCCTTGGTTAAAGTTTATTTCTAAGTATTAATTTTTTGGTTACAGTGGTAAATGGTTTTTTGTTTTTTTTTTAGTATTGTATATTTTTGAGAATTCATTATTGGTGTATCAAAAAGCCATCGATTTTTGGTTAATTTTGTATCCTGCTATATAGCCTAATTTATTTATTAAATATAATATTTTTTTGGTGGAGTCTTTAGGCTTTTCTATGTACAATACCATGTCATCTGTGAATAATGAGAGCTTTACTTCCTCCTTTTATTTCTTCTTGGATGCCTTTTATTTCTTGTCTTATCACTGTGTCTGGGACTTCCAGAACTGCATTGAATAAGAGCTGGTGAAAGGGGACATGCCCTGTCTTATTTCTGTTCTTAGGGGAAATGCTTTTAGTTTTTGCCCATTGAGGATAATGTTCACTGTACATTTGTCATATATGGCCTTTATCATGTTGATATATGTTCCCTGTATTCCCACCTTGCTGTGAGGGTGTTGGATTTCTGTGAAATGCTTTTTCCTGTGTCGACCAATTAACTATTCCAAAACGAAAACCATCCCCATTTCTCTTCCATATGAGTTGGAATATTTGTGAATTTAAGTTACCATAGTTTTCTTTACAAACCCAGAGATGCCACTCACAAGTCTGGTTTTAAAATTGGGCGGGCAGGGTTGATATGTGAGGTCTGTGGCTATAGATGCATGTGGCGTGTGGGGGAGGTCCACCGACTGCATTTATAGATGCTTATGGCATACACAGGGTTGATATGATCATGTGATATTTGTCTTTCCGTTTGTTTATCTGATGTATCACATTTATTGGTTTGCAAAAATTGTTCCAACCTTGTGTTCCTGGAATAAATTCCACGTGGTCATGGGGTGTAATATGTTTAATATATTGCTGGATCTGATTTACTAATTATTTTATTGAGGATTTAGCATCCATGTTCATTGGGGATATTAGCCTGTTAATCTTTTTTTTTTTTTTGTAGTGTCTTTATCTGGCTTTAGAATAAGGATAGTGCTGGCCTCATAAAAAGAGCTTGGAAATGTTCCTTCCTCTTGGATTTTCTGAAATAGTTTGAGTATAGGTTTCTTTTTTTTCTTTTTCTTTTTAATATATTTTAATGATTTTTTTACAGAGAGGAAGAGAGAGGGACAGAGAGCTAGGAACATCGATGAGAGAGAAACATCCATCAGCTGCCTCCTGCAGCTCCCTACTGGGGATGTGTCCGCAACCAAGATACATGCCCTTGACTGGAATCGAATCCGGGATTTTTCAGTCCGCATGCTAATGCTCTATCCACTGAGCCAAACCGGTTTTGGCAGGTGTTTCTTTTTTTAATGCTTGGTAAAACTCCTCTGGGAAGCCATCTGGACCCAGGGTTTTGTTTGCTGGGAGTTTTTTTGATTATTGCTTCTATTACATCAATTGTTATTGGCCTATTCCAATTTTCTGCTTCTTCCTGATTCGGTTTTGGGAGATTGTGTTTTTTTTTCAGGAATTTGTCCCTTTCATCCTCATTGTCCACCTTGTTGGGATATAGTTGTTCAGAGTATTTTCTTACAACCTTTGTATTTCTGTGGTGTCACTGGTTACTTCTCCACTTTCATTTCTGATTTTATAGATTTGAGTCCTCTTTTTGTTTCTTGATAAATCTGGCTAATGGTCCATCAATCTTGTTAATCCTTTCAAAGAACCAGCTCTTGGTTACATTGATTTTTTTTAAATATATATTTTTAGTCTCGGTGTCACTTATTTCTACTCTAATCTTTATTATTTCCTTCCTTCTGGACTTTTCTTGTTCTCTTTCTAGTTCTTTAAGTTGTGGGGTTGAATAATTTATTATTGATTTTTCTTGTTTTCTGAGGTAGTGCTATGAACATCCTTCTCGGGACTGCTTTTGCTGAGTGCCAGAGATTTGGGGTTGTTGAGTGTTCGTTTTCATTTGTTTCCAGGAAGTTTTCTATTTCTTATTTTTATTGATCTCAGAGAGTAAGAGAGAGATAGAAACATCGATGATGAGAGAGAACCACTAATTGGCTGCTTCCTGCATGCCCCCTAGTAGGGACCAAGCCCGCAACCCAGACATGTGCTCTTGACTGGGATCAAACCCAGGACCCTTCAGTCCGCAGGCTGGCGCTCTATCCACTGAGCCAAATCCACTAGGGCTGCCTGGGAAGCTCTTTATTCACCATCTATTTTGAGTGATAGCCTTGTTGGATATAGTAATTGTGGTTTCAAAACCTTGCTTTTTATTACCTTGAGTACTTCATGCCTACCTGACATTAAGAAATAGCCACAGTCCCACTCAGTAACTGCAATATCTGCTTGGTTTTTTGGTGTTGAGGAGGTCACAATTTCCTTATTGACAAATTCACTTTAGCCTATTTGTATCACAGAAGTTCTAGGTTACTTAAATTGCCATACAATTGGCACTCCTATTAGTGATTTTGGAGTCTCCTTCACTGTAGAGCTTTTAGTGATTTTTTTTTTTCATGCCTCCTGGAGTTAATTATGAAGGTCCATTAGCTTCTGGTGCAAGAACCTGCCCTAGGCCACACACTATATGCCATTAGAACTATAATCATCATTATGTATTAGGCACTCTTGTAATAGAGGCGCTCATAAAGACTGAGCATGTGATCCTAAACTGAGCTGGCCATTGTCCCGTTAGGCGACAAAAGCACACCAGGTACAGACACCTACTGACATCTTGGTTCTATGACTTATGCCACCTGCAGGATGGTTGCCCCTTCTATATTCGGTCTATTGAAGGAGACTATGGTATTGTGATTCACTGATTGGACACCTGGGACTTGCACATGCTTTCAGGATGAGATGCACATAAGTAAAGGATGGATCTTAGTGGAGAGTTGTTGTTCTTTATCCCTTAATTGGTTCATTTCTGATAGAGAACCAAACCCCAAGAGTCATCACCGTTAACCGAGCATCAGGCAGTTGGCCCCATCTGCATGTGTTCACAGACACTTGGACTGTTGTCTAAGAGTTGCCTGTTTGTGGTAACAGAACTCTGGGAATGTCTTTAATCAGATATCCAAAATATAAAGCCTAGGTAACACTTGTCTGTCCATTATCAAGTCTACACTATCAGGACTCATTGGGAAACTGCTGGTCCATGTTGGAGTTCCAGACATTCATAGTAATCATGGCATTTCTGAGAATATACAGTCCTAGGTTTCCCAACAATGTGTTCCGTCACAATTTCACCTCCCTTACTGGTCTCAGGCTCATAGAGCACCATGCTAGGTTGTTGAAATAAGTTTAAATCAGTTGAATGATCCATGGTGTGTTTCAGTCATCAGGGATGAATTGTAACAAATCTGTCCTTTCCCCTAATGTAAGGTGACCAGACTTCCCACTTTTGGTGGGACAGTCCCGATTTTTAACAATTTATCCGGCATCCCTGCAGGACAAATTGTTAAAAAATAGGACTGTCCTGCCAAAAGCGGGATGTCTGGTCACCTTACCCTAATGTGCTTTTTAAAAATGCAGTTCTAGGTTCATAGAAAAGGTGATCAGAACATACAGAGAGCTCTGTGATGAATATTAAACAAGTTAAAAGCAATACTTCCCAACAAGAATGTTTTCACTCTGCCAGCAGCGTTGACTACTAAACCCCTGGAGCACTTTGAGGACAATACAGCTAGCTGGACCTTATTGAAAGTTGTATTTCCACAGCTTTCATGCACTTTCATGTGTGGTGATGGGAATGGAAGGAAAAGAGTCTACTTCTTCATTTTGTTTTTATTGATTAAATTCTGCCTCATGGAGAACTATATCAGAAAGGGGAATGAAAGTTTCTCTCACAAACAATTGATGGTCTTAAAATGACAATATTTGGTGTGGCTTAGTGGTTACGTGTCAATCTATGAACCAGGAGGTCACAGTTCCATCCCAGTCAAGGCCTGGTTTGTGGCTTCAATCCCCTGTGGGGGTTGTTTAGGTGGCAACTGATCAGGCATGTTATTTCTCAACTTGCTGTGCACTCTGCTGTTACAGGGCAATAACATACTATCTAATAGAGGGAATATGCTAAGAAGGCACTCAGTCCTCTCAGCCCCCCCAGGTGCCCAGGGCCAGTTTGAGACTCAGATAACAAGGACCGGCTGAGGCTTCGCTGCTGGCAGTGGCAGCAGCAGAGGTGTGATGGGGCAGCAGCAGAGGTGTGATGGGGCATCACCTTCCCTGGATCGCCTGGTCACCTCCTGGACTGTGAGGGGGGACAGGCAGGGTTGAGGGGACCCCTCCCTCCAGTGCATGAATTTTCATGAACCAGGCCTCTGGTGTAATGTTATAATAGTAAAGGTGCACAAATAATTTCCAAGAAGTAAGTGTGGGCAAGAGAGTAAGTTTATGGTGATAAGTCATAGAGTAAATGTTTGGAGACAACAGAATCCTATGTAACCTTCCTATAAATGGAGTCTGGGCTGAAACTGGTTTGGCTCAGTGGATAGAGTGTCGGCCTGCGGACTGAGGGGGTCCCAGGTTTAATTCCTGTCAAGGGCATGTACCTTGGTTGCAGGCACATCCCCAGTGGGGGCATGCAGATAGAGGCAACAGATAGATGATTCTCTCTCATCAATGTTTCGAACTCTTTATCCCTCTCCCTTTCTCTCTGTGAAAAAATTTAAAATAAATAAGTAAATAAATAAATGAATGAATAAATAAAGTCTGTGTATCCAGGGCTGTCAGTCTGACACATCCTACTCTTATACATATCTGGAATGTTTTAGGACTCGGTGGCCATTGAGGATGTGGTTGTGACCTTCACCGTAGAAGAGTGGGCCTTACTGGATTCTTCGCAAAAGAAACTTTACAGAAATGTAATGCGACAAACTTTCAAGAACCTGGCCTCAATAGGTAAGGATGTGTACTTTCGTTTCATCAATTAGGTAAGTGTTTCTTAGTCATTGCTTTTTTTCCCCTCCAAGATTTGAATTGTGAAAAGATAGGACATAAAAACTAGGAATGGCCGGGACCGGTTTGGCTCAGTGGATAGAGCGTCAGCCTGCGGACTGAAAGGTCCCGGGTTCGATTCTGGTCAAGGGCATGTACCTTGGTTGCGGGCACATCCCCAGTGAGGGGTGTGCAAGAGGCAGCTGGTTGATGTTTCTCTCTCATCGATGTTTCTAACTCTCTGTCCCTCTCAATTCCTCTCTGTGTAAAATCAATAAAATATATTTAAAAAAATAAAAATAAAAAAAATAAAAACTAGGAACGGTCACAGCTAAAAATGGACCCATAATCTAATATTTCTCTAATATAAGTATTTTGGATTTGTTTTGCTTGCATTTCAGGGAAAAAGTGGGATGATCGTGATATTGAAGAACTGTATAAAAACCAGGGGAGAAAACTAAGGTGTGTCTTATTTATATCGATATTAGAAAGTACTGGCTGATTTGAAGATTTGATTATGTTATGAAATTTTGAAAAAAGGAAATAAAAGAAATAATCCAGTGTGTGTGTGTGTGTGTGTGTGTGTGTGTGTGAAAAAGAGTACAAAAAAAAAAAAAAAGGAAAATAAAAGAAATAATCCCTACTCCAACATTTTTTTTAAATTTAATAAATCATTATTGGTCAGATTATTATTATACAATTGTTTCTCCCTACCCCCCCAATAGCTCCCCTCCACCTGGTTCCCACCCTCCCTTCTGCCTCCTCCCCCCATCCATGGGTGTATGATTTTTGTCTATTCTCTTCCCGTACCCCCCACACAGACACCTCTTTACCCCTGAGAATTATCAATCCCCTCTCATTCTATGCCCCTGCTTCTATTATATTCACCAGTTTATTCTGTTCCTCAGATTTTCAATTCACTTGTTGATATGTATTTGTTCATAATTTTTATCTTTACTTTTTTCTTCTTTTTCCTCTTTTTAAAGAATACCTTTCAGCATTTCATATAATACTGGTTTGGTGGTGATGAACTCCTTTAGCTTTTTCTTACCTGTGAAGCTCTTTATCTGACCTTCAATTCTGAATGATAACTTTGCTGGGTAGAGTAATCTTGGTTGTAGGTTCTCCCATTCATCACTTTGACTATTTCTTGCCACTCCCATCTGGCCTGCATAGTTTGTGTTGAGAAATCAGCTGATTATCATATGGGTGCTCCCTTGTAGGTTTCTGTTTTTCTCTTGCTGCTTGTAAGACTCTCTTTGTCTTTTGCTCTTGGCATTTTAATTATGATGTGTCTTGGTATTGTCCTCTTTGGATTCCCTTTGTTTGGGGTTCTGTGCACTTCCTGGACTTGTAAGTCTATTTCTTTCACCAGGTGGGGGAGGTTTTCTGTCACTATTTCTTCAAATAGGTTTCCAGTGTCTTGCACTCTCTTCTTCTGGGACCCGCATAATTCTGATGTTGGCAAGTTTGAAGTTGTCCCAGAGGCTTACACTATCTTCAACTTTCTGGATTCTCTTCTTGCTTCTCCGGAGGAGTGTCCTGTGCCTCTGTATTGCAAATCTTTGACAGGATTCTTGCGTTCCTCTAGTCTGCTGTTGGGTCTTTGTATAATATTTTTTATTTCAGTAGCTTTGTGTGCTGAGTGTCCTATATGAATCAATCGGTCAGCCTCCCAGTTACCTGATGTGGGCACTCTTGGTGCACCTCTTTGTGGACTGTGTGTACAACCTTGTTGTAGTTAAGTCTTTTTTTTTTTTTTTTTTTAAATAAATCTTTATTGTTCATATTATTACAAATGTTCCTCATTCCACCACCACCACCACCACCACCCCCCCCCCCCCCCCCCCCCCCCCCGTAGTTAAGTCTTGATTGTTGTTGGTGTCACTGGGAGGAATTGACCTCCAGGCCACTTGGCTGTGAGGACCTGCTGGGTCTATAATGGAAAAATTACTGTGCTGGAGACACGTTTATGGGGCAGGACTTGTTCCAGTAGGGCTTTGGTGCTCACTGAGTCTGCCTCTTGAATGTTCCTTATGAGAGAAGTTGAAATCTGGTGTCGTCTCACACCAACCACTAGATACACTAGTTTCTGGATTTCCAATGGGGTGTAGGTCAGCTACTGTCTGAGGCCACCCAGCAGGAGCTACAGCAAGAACTACAGTTTTCTCCTCTTTGCTTGGGATTTGGCGGTTTTGTAGCAGTATGACTGGAGCTGCAGTTAGTTTGGTTAAGCTTTGACCGTGCAGGCCATTTATATGCAAAAGCCGCTATGTGGAGCCTGGACAGGTTTGTAGTATGTGCAGAGCAGGTGTCAGTCACTAGGCTGATGCATGGCAATCAGCGATGGCTGCCTTTTTGCATTTCCAAGTCCCAGTGTCCCGTGCTCCAGTGCAGTAAACAATGATTGCTGCGCACACCTCTCAGCTTTTCAGCATTTGTGTTCTTTTCTCTTTCCTTCTAGTTGTAAGACTTCCATTCAGCCAGCTTTCCCATGGTTCTGAGTGATAGACATTTTTGTCTTTTAGTTGTAGTTTTGAAATTGTTGTGTGATGAGGCAGTTTAGTTGTTTACCTTTGCCACCATCTTGGTTTCTCTCTCCCTGCTTCAATTTTTACTTATATTAAAAATTTTCATCAAAATTACTTTTTTATTAGACATAGATATAAGTAGCTTACTTCCAAATAGTACTGTTAAATTTTATATATGATGATTACTCTTTTAGTAATAGGAAGGGTGAAATCCTCTTGCAAAATATTGTTTCATTTTCTTAAGTAATTCTTTATTGTTGAAAGTTACATGTGTTCCCCTTCTAACTCCATTGAGAACATTTCTTATATTGAACTTTAAACAAATCAGACAGAAAGCCTACCCCTTTTTAACTTATTATTATTGATTTTAGAGAGAAACATCTATCAGTTGCATCCTGCACACACTCCAACCAACTGAACCACTCTGGCCAGGGCAAAAACCCTACCACTTTGATACAAACCATAAAGATGCAGTTCAAATACCCTAATAAGCAAAACTGTTAATAAACAAATTATTAATACTGTACTTCTTGTCTTTTACAGAAATCATATGGCAAAGAGACTCTGTGAGACTAAAGAGGGTAGTCAATGTGAAGACAACTTGAATCTTATTTCAGAAAAGACTTTGAACAAGAAAAGCACTGCAGTAAAACCACATGAATGCAGTACACCTGGAAAAGTCTTTACCCATCATTCACTCCTTGATAGGCACATCAGGTGTCACATTGGACACAAACCACACGACTATGACAAATACAGAGAGAAGCCTTATACATTCAGGACATGTAATAAAACCAGTTATCACCATTTTTTTTATAAACGTAAAAGAAATCACAGTGTAGAGAAATCTTACAAATGTAAGGACTATGGGGAATCTTTTAGGCATCACCAGTCTGTTCACAAACATGAACAGATTCACACTGGAGAGAAATGGTATCAGTGTAAACAATGTGGAAGAATCTTTAGCTCTCATCAAGCCTTCCAAGAACATAAACAAATTCACACAGGAGAGAACCCCTATGAATGTAAACCATGTGGTAAAGCTTTCAGTTGTTCCAGTTCTTATCAAAGTCATGAAAAAACTCATACTGCAGAGAAACCTTACGAATGTAAGGAGTGTGGGAGAGCCTTCCGGTATTACTCTACCTTTCTATTACATGAGAGAACTCATACTGGAGAGAAACACTTTACATGCAAGGAATGTGGTAGAGGCTTTCGTCGTTACCGAACCTTGAAACGCCATATGAGACTGCACACTGGAAAGACACCCTATGAATGTAAACAATGTGGTAAAGCCTTCAGAGGTTTGGTTTGGTTAGAGAAGCATGAAAGAAGTCATACTTGAAACACTGAATGTAAGGAATGTGAAAAGGCCTCATATCAACAAATTTTTGAAAGTACACACTGGACTGCACACAGCAGAGAAACCCTATGAAAATGAACTAAAGCCTTTAGACATTCCTCTTTAAAAGTCATTAAAGTAATTATGATAAAAATCCTATGAATGTAAGTAGTTTGGTAAAGCCTACAGACCTTAAACAGTTTCTTAGAAACACAAGAGAATTCATGAAAGCTTAAATAGAAATTAATGTTTAGTGTTCCGGACAACAGCACAGTTACGGATAAATGTGTAGCCCTATCCGGGTTGGCCCACTGGAAGGTCCCAGGTTCAATTCTGGTCAGGGTCACATACCTCAGTTACAATTTCCCCTACCTTGGTCAGATGCATGCAGGAGGCAACCAATGTTTCTCCCTCCTTTCCACTATCTTGTTGAAGCCTATTGGGATTATTGGGTGAGATTACTTTTTTTTTTTTTTAATATATTTTATTGACTTTTTACAGAAAGGAAGAGAGAGGGAAAGAGCTAGAAACATTGATGAGAGAATCATCGATCAGCTGCCTCTTGCACACCCCCTACCGGGGATGTGCCTGCAACCAAGGTACATGCCCTTGACTGGAATCGAACCCGGGACCCTTCAGTCCGCAGGCTGACGCTCTATCCACTGAGCCAAACCGGTTTCAGCGGTGAGTTGACTTTTTAAAATTTATATTTAGGGACGGAGATAGACACATCAATGATGAAAATCATTGATTGGCTACCTCCTGCACACCCATAGAGGGGATCAAGCCCAAAACCCCAGCATGGGCCTGACCAGGAATTGAACTACAACCTGATTTATAGTTCTACTGAACCACCCAGCACACCGGTTGGGCAAAGTTTACTTCTAAATTGCAATTATGGTTAATTTGTTATATATTTGGTTTGTGCTAAGAGGCTATTGAAATCTGATTGTGGTATTGGGATTTCCCCCCTCCCCCCCAGAAAAGGATATATTTTTATTCAAATAACTGCAAACTAAGAAACCAGAGGGAGGGGTTCCGGCTGGGACAAACAATGGCTACCTCCCCAGCAGAACGGGGAGAAGGCGCCCCTACATTCTCTTCTGTCAACACAGACCCTTCCCCTGCTCACTGCTGCAGCATAAGGGGCAGAGCCCCCAACTTCCCTGGGACTGGGGTGCTCTGTTCCCAGCCTGCTTTGCCCCTGGCTCCTTCCCAAGAGCATCTTGGAGGGAGTGTGGATGAATATTTTCGCTCGTAGTAGTAATGACAGATGTCTAATAATAAAACAACAACTCCACTGTCCAGGGGTAGTTTATGAATAGAGGGAAGATGGAACCAGAAAGTGTGGGGTAGTGGGGAGAGGGCGCAAGACTTCTTGTTAGTGCTCCATGTGAGGGGAGGAAACAAGTCTAAAGTGGAAGCAGATTGGATCAGGGGCTCACACCCCTCTTGCTCTCCCAACTGTGCCCCAAGGGGCGTTGTTCAACCTAGTGCAAGCCTAGTCACCTCATGGAAGGAAAGTGGGTGTGAGCTACACCTGGTGAGACACAGGTTCGTTGGGTTATCTTTGGGCCAAACGACTATCC